CAGCATCGCGCGGGGGTGCCCGGAGCGATGGGGCACCCATGGAACCCCCCCCTCCCCCATCCCGGCCCGGCCCCGCCCTTTTGGTCCAGAGGGGGCGTGGTGGGCGTGAGGCCACGCCCTTCTGTGGCTGGACCAGCCCCGTCCCAGTGCCCCCTCCCAGTGCAGACAGGGACCCTTCCCCCCAAAATCGGGGAGAACCCAGGGGTCCAGCAAAGCCCCACAAAATCTGGGCGCTCTCAGGAGTCCAGGAGAGATCCCCAAATTCGGGAGGGTCCAGCAGTCCGGGAGAGCGCCCCAAATTCGGGGAGGGTCCTGTGGGCCGGGCCATCCCCCAAATTCGGGGAGGGTCCTGTGGTCCGGGCCGCCCCCCGCCCCATCCTGGGGTCTCCATCAGGGCTGGGGAGGGGGATTCAGCTCCGCTCGGGTGTTTCCGTCCCGGGCGGAAGCGCCCGAAGGCTGCCGAGAGGTGTTCGGGTAGTTCCGCGTCCCCTCGGGTGTTTCGGCCTCGCTCGGGTATTTCCGGCTCCACTCGGCGGCGCGGGCGGCGCTCGGCTCTTCCCGCGACGCTCGGCGGAAAGTACCGAAGGAAGCTTCGGGTAACTCCGTCGTGGAGGCGGAAACACTCGAAGTGTGTGACGGCCGCGAGCCGAACCTCTCCGGGAACAGCCGAAGCGGAGCGGGGAGGCGTGTCGGGTGTTTCCGGCGCGGCGGCGGAAATGGCCGAGGGCCGGCGGCGGCCGCCATGTTGGGAGCCGCGGGGCGCTGAGGCGGCGGCGGCGTGAGGCGGCGGCGGCGGCGGCCGGGCCGGGCCGGGCGGACCCCGCCCGCTCCCCCTGCTCCTCTCCCGGCCCCCCCAATGCCGCTGGCCTGGCCCCCCCCCGCCCCCTGAACTCCCCCGCCTCCCTTTCCCCCTCCCCGCACACCGCCTGCCGCGGCTTCCCCCTATCGCGATAGTCGCCGGCGGCGCGGGGGGGGGGCCGCCATGTCGAGCAGCGGTCGCAGCCCTTTGCCGACCGTCAACGAGAGGGACGCGGAACAGGTGAGGGAGGCCCGGCGGGGATCGGGTGTGGATGAAGGGGGACCCGGCTCCGGCGTGAGGGGAGAGGGGCGGCTGTGGGGGAAAAGGGGCGTTTTGTGAGGGGAACAGGGAACTGAGGGAGTCTGGGGGATTTTTGTGAGGGGAAAAGGGGGATCTGAGGGAGGAAAAAGGGGCTTAAGGGGATCGTGAGCCGGTTCGTGAGGGGAAAAAAGGGGCTCTGAGGGGTTTGTGGAGTGATTTGTGAGGGGAAAGGGAGTGATCTGAGACGACAAAAAGGAGGATTGTGGGGGTTCTGGTCCCGTCCATATGGAAAAAAAAGGGGGTCTGAATGGCTCTGAGGCGTTTATGTGAGGGGAAAGGAGAGTCTGGGCTCGGTTTGTGAGGGGAAAAGGGGTCTTAGAGGGGCCCGAGTAATTTCGTGCGGTAAAAGGGGTGTCTTGAGGGGGACCTGGGCTGGTTTTTGAGGAGGGAAAAACAGGGATCCGAGAGGGAAAGGGGGGCTGAGACAATCTGGGGTTGTTCTGTGAGGGGAAGCAGGAGGGTCTGAGGCGGCCCTTGCCCGTTTTGTGACAGGAAAAGGGGGTCCGGGGCCGCCAGGAGTAAAAAGGGTCTGGGGTCTGTTTGTGAGGGGGAAGTGAGGCCCGAAAAGGATTTGAGCAATTTTGTGAGGTAAAAAGAGTGTTTGACGGGAACCTGGGTTGATTTTTGAGGTAAAAAGAGAGTCTGAAACGGAAAATAAGGAACCTAAGGGACGCTTTTGGGAGCGGAAAAAGGGGGTCCTGGGGCATTTTATGTGGAGAAATGAAGGAATCTGGATTCCTCTATGAAGGGAAAAGAGGGCCTGAGGGGGTCTGGGGTTGTTTTGTGAGGGGAGAGGGGGCTCTGAGGGGCTCGGTGAGGTGGAAAAGGGGGGGGGTCTAAGGGTTCCCCCGGCGAGGTGGTCCTGGGGGACCCCCAGCTCCTCTCTTCCACCCCCATGAAGGACCCTGGGGTCTCCCACGGCCCAGACCCTCCTGTGGGGTGGGGGGCTCTGAGCCGTGGCCCCCCCTTCAGGGCTGGATTTGCTGTAGGGACAGTGCTCTGGGCTTCTGCTGGGATGAGCCCCTCCCCAAATTTTGGGGTCCCATTTTGGGGTTCCTTGAGGAGCAGCAGGGGGTTTGTGTGCATGACCCCAAATTTTGGGTGATGGGGGGGTTCAATCCTTGCACCCCAAAGGGAGAGGGGCAAGCAGTGGGGTGCCAGACCGTCACACTGAACCCCCCAGGGTCTGGGATCGGCTGTGGGGGGCAGGTTTGGGGTGTCATTGTCACCCCCCCCCCCAGCTCGGTGGCTGCACGATCGGGGTGTGGGGGCGTCAGCCCACCCCCTTCCCCACCCCCTTCCCTGCTGCGGCCCCCCCAAACGGGGGGAGCTGTGGGGGCGGCGGCAGCGCTGCCACGGGCTCAGCGCCCTCCCAGGGCTTTGGGGGGGGCTCTGAGGGGTGAACCCCCCAAATCACTCCGGTTCTGACCCCTGCGGGCAGGGACCGGCCCCCCAGGGTGGGCACTGGGGGCTCACCCCCTTGTGTCTTTGGGGATGGGAGGGGGTTGAGGCCCAAAGCCCTTCAGGGGCACTGGGAGGGGGGGTTCCCCGTTTTGGGGGTGGATTTGGGGGGCTCTTGGGATCCGTCTTTGCTCCCAGCTTCTGTTGCTGGTGGGAGACCCCAGTGCTGCTCCTCCTTTTGGGGAGCACCTGGGGGTCTCCTCAGCCCCCTCTCCTGTGTGACACTTCCATCTTGGGTGATGTTTTGGGGGGCTTCCCCCTATTCTGTGACCGGGGGCCCCCCAAGCGCAGGGGAGTGACCCCAGCAGGGCGTGTGGGGGCACAAGTGGCCTTGTGTCGGTGTCCCCAAGCCCGAGGACAAAGCGATGCCACCTGTTCTGTGGCTGTGGCTGTGGCATCGGGCTCCCCCTCCTCGTTTTGGGTGCTTTTCCTCTTATTTATCCACTGTTATGTAACGCCAGAGGAAAATTATTCCTGGCTGGGAAGATTTGGGGAGGGGGCGGCAGCACCGTGTGTGGGGGACTGCGCATCTCCCCCAACCCCAGCAGCCGAAATCGGGGGGTCTTTCCCAGCCTCCCCCCCCCCCACCAGCCCCCAATTCCTCCCTCACATGGAGCCCGATACGGTGGGATTGGAGATTTTTTTTTTTTTTAAAAAAAATTCTTCCAAAATACCTAAATTTGGCTGACATTTGAGCGGCGCCGCACGAAGCAGCTCTGCCTGCCCGGCTGCCGTGCCGGGGGTCCCGGTCACAGCGTCCCCCGTGTCACCCGCGCCGCTCCCATCGCCACCAGTTGTCACCGGCTGGGTGGCGTGGGCGGCAGCGGGATCCTCACTCCCGCCTGGTGACATCACTGCAGCCCCGGTGACATCACACCGTGCCTGGTGACGTCACAGCTCATCCAGTGACATCACCGCACACCATCCCGACGGGATCCCAATGGTCATTCCCAATGGCCGTTCCCAATGGGATCCCAATGGCCATTCCCAACCTTTCGGCTCCGCTCGGGACAATCCCGCTGCCCATTTTCCCCTTTTCCGCCCCATTTTTTCCCCCCTTTTCCGCCCCGTTTTCCCCGCCCGGGCGCTCCAGGTGTTCCCCGGGCCCCACCCCGCGCTGTCCCGCTGCGGCCTCAGCCCCAACCGGTCGAGCCGGTCCCCGCTCGCTCCCTCCCGGCGTCCCGCGGGGCTCCCGGCGGCACCGCCCCGCTCCCGCCGCTCCCGGCGCTTCGGGGTGCCCAGGGTGAGTCCCCTCATGGCGGGCGGGATGGGGAAACTGAGGCACGGCAGGGGCTCCGCGGCCTCGGCGGGGTTTGGTTACCGAGCGCCGCCTCCACCGCGCCCTTCCCGTGCCCGGTGCCGGTGATTTCCCCCCGCGGTGCCGGGGACATTTCCCCCGCTGCGGGGCCGTGTCTCCTTTGCCGTTTTTGCCGTATTTTTGGCCACTCGGGCGCCGGCGCTAAGAGGAGCCGGGAAACGCCCGGAGCGCCGCCCGCCTGCCGCCACCGAAGGCCCGGGAGGGTTCCGGTACCGGGGCTGCCCCGGTCCCGCCCGGGGGGGGGTTCGGGGGCTCCGGTGTCGGTGCCGCCTCAGGGCCCGAGCGAATCCCGGCAGCGCGGCCAGATGGCTCCGCACGCTCCCGCCCCGTTGCCACGGCAGTTTTTTGGCAGAAACTCCCGTTTTCCTTCACTTTTCCCACAGCACCGCGCTGGGTTTTGGGGGAGGGGGAAACTCCGGTTCCCCCCCCCCCCTCCCCAGGCCCCAAAACACCGCGTTCTGCCCCCAAATCTGGGGGTTCGGTTGCGCCATCGCCGGCACCTCCCCCGTGGCTTCCGCCAGCGGTTTCCTTCCCACGGAGGGGGAGGGGGACACCCCAAGATGCGCCCCCACAAAAACAAACCCGGCGGGGTTTTGGGGGGCCCCCAAATCCCACCTGGGAGCGGGGGCTCGGCTCGGCTTCCCCGCCCGCTCACGCGCTCCCGTTATCTCCGGTGTCACCCGAGCGGTGACAGCCCGGGCGGGGGGTGACACCGCGCCGGCCTCGCTCCCCGTAAGGGAACACCCCCACGGTGTCCCCAAAGCCCCGGTGACCTTCGGGGGGGGCCCCCACGGCGGCTTTTGGGGTGCGAGAAGAGGGGCTTTGTGGCGATGCCGTTGTGGGGCAGCCCCCCGCTTTTGGCCGGGCTGTGAAAACTCCGTCGGGGTGGTTGCGTTTGGGCTAAAACCTCGATGTTTGGAGGCTCCGCTTTTAGGAGGGGAGCGGGGTGGCCGTGTCCCCATCCCGGGGACGGGGGTGACACCCCCGGCCCCTTCCCACCCTCGCGGCCCAGCCCGAAACCGCGGCGCTTGCGTCAGGTATCGGGGGCGGCGCCGGGCCGGGCGCGGCTCCGCCGCTCCGGACTTTGCTCCCGGCTCCTCCAGGAGCCCGCGGATCCCCCCGGCATCCCCCGGGGGGACGCGGCCGGCCCGAGCTGAGCCTTGTTGTCCCCGCTGTCCCCGCAGCCGGGCGCCGTGGAGGGCAAGGGCGGCGGCAAGGCCAGCATGCTGCGGGGCCGGAACGCCGGCACGGCCGCCGAGGAGCAGCCCCACATCGGCAACTACCGGCTCCTCAAAACCATCGGCAAGGGCAACTTCGCCAAGGTCAAGCTGGCCCGGCACGTCCTGACCGGCAAGGAGGTGAGTGGCACCGTCCTGGCGTGGGGACAGCGCGTGGGGGGACGTGGGGACGTCGCGGGGACGGGACGGGTCTGTGGGTGACGCCGTGGCACGGGGACAGGCTGTGGGTGTCACCACGGTGTGGGGACAGGTTTGTGCTGCTTGTCCCTTGGGTGCCACCACAGCGTGGGGACAGTTCTGGGTGCTGGTGTTTGTCCTGGAAGTGCCACCACAGCGTGGGGACAGTTCTGGGTGCTGGTGTTTGTCCTGGAAGTGCCACCACAGCGTGGGGACAGTCCGTATTCCCTGAGTGCCACCATGGTGCAAGGACAGCTTTGCGGGCTGGCCCTTGCCCTGGGATGGGCTTCCTGTCCCCAGCAGTGAGTGCCACCGCAGTGTGGGGACAGTTCTGGCTGCTGGTGCTTGTCCTGGAAGTGCCACCGCAGTGTGGGGACAGGACTGGGCTCCTGGCCCAGGTCCTGTGATTGTCACTGCAGGTTTGGGCCCGTTGTCCTCGTCCCATGGGTGGCACCGTGGTGTGGGGTCGGCCCTTGTCCTGTGGGTGCCACCGGGCTGTGGGGACAGCTCTGGCTTCTGGTCCCTGCCCTGGGAGTGCCACCTGGCACAGGAGGGAGTTTCCTGGTCCTCGGCTGTGACTGTCACCGTGCTGTGGGGACCCTTCTAGGTCCTGCTCCTTGTCCTGTGGGTGCCACCACAGGGATGGGCTGCTGGTCCCCACCCCGTGGGTGCCACCACGGCGTGGGGACACTCCTGGGTCCTGATCCGTGTCCTGGGAGTGCCACCACAGCCCAGGGATGGTCCCGAGTCCTCTGTCCTCATCCCACGAGTGCCACCACGCTGTGGGGACAGCCCTGGGGCTGCTCCTGTCGCCTTCCCTCTCACTCTGGGAGTGCCACCACGGTGTGGGGACAGTCCTGTCCCCCTGCTCCTCACCCTGCAAGTGCCACCCAAGCTTGGGGACAGCCCTGGGGACCCTCTGACCCCGCCGTGTCCCTCGCAGGTGGCCGTGAAAATCATTGACAAGACGCAGCTCAACTCCTCCAGCCTGCAGAAGGTGAGGGGTGTCCCTGGGGGGGGGGGGGGACA